AGTTGATGTCGTCAAAAGGGCTGCACACAAATGGCCGCTTACGGGAATCTAATCAATCAACGATGATAGTCTTGGAGCTGAGAATGATGCGTACCCCAGCTTGACCAATGATTGCTGCATCAGTGTCTGCGGATGCGTGTGACCAACAGCGAGAGAAGTTAGGCGCAGTTATTTCGACAACCCCGTAAGGATCATGGATTTTAGTTTCAGACACACAATACGTTAAAATCTAAAGTAGCCAACATGCGTGCGAGTACAGCTTGTGGACCTATTTGTCTTGGTGTGTGAACGTCAAACGCCGATATTGAAACAGGACAACGTGGTCTTATAAGGGGCTGCTGCCGATAGGCGTCCAGTGGATAGTGCGGAAAGGTGGCTGCAAATGGTATGACTCCAGTGGCATCGCGGCTGCTGCCAATCAAGCTGGGAAGTATGGAAAAAGCGTCTAGTGTGGATCGGGAAGGATGCAAAGGAAACAGGTGGAAAAGAAAGGTGGCGTCAACAGTAGCAAATTTTGCCTTATGCGCCATGCCGTATGCAGCAGATAAGGCGACCCTTGATAAGCTGCGCGACAGCCGATGCAGGATGTGGTTGGAGTTTGAGAAGTAGTCATGGTTGTATGTTGACTGAGATACTGTTAGAGCGCCCCGACTTAGACAGGAGGGCGATTAGGGTTCGAAACCAGTCTCAGACTCAAAAGCCGGTGCGCAAGGCAGCGGGGAGATGGCAATGATTTAGCTTTACTGGGTTGGATGCCATCTCATTTCCAGCTCCCAACCTGGAGTATTAGGAGACAGCTTGTCCAACCTCTAACCACTGACCAATCTGGTAGGAGTAACTCTCAAGTGGTCCGGACACTAGCCAGTACAACGCAACAGGTACGCAGACCGTCACATCACGTTAAGGTATAGTCACGTGAGAGATTTGCAAGGAAGGTTTGATGGTGCCTCACTGTAGTGCTTGCTAAAGCCTATTTTTTCGTTCGTATGCCTCCCGTACACCTTTATCGGTGTACACTGTTTTTGCTGCAAGTAGTTGTGTTAAGCCGTCTGGTCAATGGATGATGGAGCATAAGAATAAGAAATTAATCAATAACTGCTTTAGCTAGTGCATGTCTCCGTGAATAGAATCTTTGCGACGATTCACACCAGTGGTTGGAAACCACATCAGATGACGCAGTCGTGCAAGCAGTGGTGATCTTGAATGTAGCTGTTGATAGTTATGCATGATTAAGTTTACACTAGTCTCTCTTCTTTATACTGCGTTCGTAACTGAACTCACCTTTTACCAGTTACTCAAGCAATGAAAGCCAAGGCAGCAGAATTGCCTTGCGTCATTCCGGAGACTGACAATGTTCAAACAGCTAGGGACAAATCTAAGTCCCACTTACATGAGCTTTCGCTACCTCACGTATCACTTTCTGAGAGAAATAAAACTATGGCAAATGCACCTTGGTTTGATTCTGCTGCACGCAAACGACAACAGTGGTACCAGATATTGGAGAATTTAATTATTTGTTCCTTCATCATGCACCTACAAGCGCCACCGCGAGGCCCGAAATGCCTGCAGGCAGCATCTGCGAGGTGCTTGACCGCAATATGAAATTGGGTTTGCCAGTACAGCCTCATGTAATCCAGAACGCTTTCCCGCTAATGCTAAAAGGCGAGGCAACCTAAGCTCGTCTATCCACGTGTTGTTTGGTCTCGACTGCTCTGCTGCTGGCACAGATCACAACAAAGCTTTTTTACTCAGAGAACAGTATACAGGTGCTTATAATTCGATTCAGCCGCCGCATATCAGAATGCAGGCGAAAGTTCCTGAGGGATCTTCTCTGGAGGGTTTCATATCAAAGACGCAAGTGCTCCGGCTTCTGCGGGAATTAGATTCCAATAAAGCTGCTAGGGTGAATGCTTTTCATCCCAAAATGTTGCACGAGTTGGCTGTTGAAGTTTGCCCTCTGATTACACATCTCTTTGAGAAGACTCAACGCAGCTGCTTTCACCGCATCGACTGGAAGGCTACTGTATGTCCCATCTTTGACAACCACAGACCGGTCACTTCGACGAGCGGGCTGATCAGGCTGCTGGAAACATTTGTGAGGGACGCTCTCGAAGAACATTTAAGAGCGTTTTGATTGCTCAATCCTTGTCAACACGGCTTTCGTAAAAGTTTTCCTGCCTTACTGACATTGAGCCGAAGCTGTCGAGCGAGAGAAGGTAGTAAGCGTGATGCTTATTGATTTTTGCAGTTTTTGATACCGTACCGCATTCGCACCTTTTGTATGAGCTGCAGTCCTACGGTAATGCTGGACTTGTCTTACGAAAAAATTTAGCTTTCTGAATCAAAAGGGAGATAAACATTCGTGTGGGTTCCGGCATGTCTTTTTGACAATTCGTTCTCAGTGTGGTCCCGCAAGGTTGTATTCGGCTCTCCTCTCTTCCCTTTATACGTTAATGACTTACCTGATAAGCTGGGGGTGTCATCCCTAATATTTGCGGATGACTTACAAGTATGGTACACAGTAAACGAACCGGGTGGTCCACTGACCCACCAAAAATTCTGGATAGACTTTGGGATTGGGCCCTTTTGTTTCCGTTGCCAGTGAATCTCGTGAAATGTTCAGTCCTACGTGTACGCCCAAATGACCCACCGACGCGTTATTTGCTTAATGGCAAGGAAGTGCCGCAGGTGCAACTCCAAGTTGACCTGCCAACTGACTAAGTGAACATTGGACGGCAGCTGCGAGCAAAGGATCCGGCATGCTGTGGTTGATCTGCAGGTGATTCGGGATGAAAAACGACTGAAAGGTTCGTTAGACTATTTTGGGCTTTTGTAAGGCCGCATTTGGAACACTGTGTACAGGCTTGTCCCCCACGCCTCGTTCGTGACAAGATGGCAGATGAACGGGTCCCGGCGTCTGGCACAAAAATGGTGCATAGGTTAATGAAGCTGACATACTTTGAGAGGATGCGTAAGTTGGATATGTTTTCCACGCATTACAGGCGACTCGGTCCTTACATATCGCATACTAATGGGCCAAATTGGTCCTAAGTTAACTAGATGCTACACGGCTACCCATGGAAGTTGCACAAACACCGATCTGACTAGGTTGGGGCAGCTTTTCGGTTATCGTGTAAGGTCATAAGCTATTGGAACGCGCTGCCTGCCAAAGTTGTGAAGGCACCGACGGTGAAAGAGTTCGAACATTGACTTTACGCTCTCGGACTGCAGTATAAAATCTTTCCCTTCATACTCTAAGCTTTTTCTCGTCTATTACGGCTTACTTTTCCTTAATTCATTTTCACTTGCATCTCAATATTTGGTGAGCTTCTCTCCTTGTTTCCCTTCGTATTTTATTTACGTGACCGACATAGTGGGGACTATCAGTGTACGGCATGTGGGCGTTTTTTGATTGCCCATGTGAACCGTACGTGTTGATTTGGCTCTCCTTTGGCGGATCACTCTATCGCATCCCTTGTTGGCCAAACGTTTTCGAAGGTGGAACATTCATGGGATCTCCCTACTGTTTCCGTCCTATTTGAACTATACCAACGCGCTTCGGATCGTGGCGACTGTATCACGTGCACATGGAGATCAGATCGGAGAAATTGTGTAGGGGTTCCATACAAAGCCCTTGGTCCGTAAGCCTCGTCGCAATGAAGGGGGAGCTTTGTATCAGCTCAGTAACAGATTTCTTACAGTCGAATGTTACTTCAGTACCATCTTCAAAACCCGTAAGATCACCAAGGTTCAGGTCAGGTCAAACGGACGATAGAGGCTTCCGCCTAACGAGCGTCCAGTTCTTGTGCCGGTAAGTGAAGCGGCCCCCGGCACTTCGACGTTGGATTATCTCTTCTTGCTTTAGCAATAGAATGAAGCGAGAACAAGAGCAATCCTTGCACTTTCATATGCCAGCATCAAATTACACTACCTATTCCAGTACAACGACAATATCTCTGGAAAAAGGATGGAACAACAATCGTCTAAGCCCCTTTTGAAGGCTTCTACGGTCTCAGACTCCACTAAATCAGAAGGAAGTTTATTCCAGAAGTTAACTACTCGGTTCGTAAAAATCTTTGCCCGGATGTCCAAACGAGCTCTATGACGTTTGAGCTTCAGGCGATGCCCGCAAAGATGGTCTGACAAAGGTTAATGAAAGTTTTCTTACGGCCCTACTCGAAAGAACACGTTCAGTTTCGTCGTTAACAATCCAGTCGATTAACACCAAAGGAAGCTTCGGTTGATAGTCAACGCTTAAAACAAGTTACCGTAAAGGATTCTATGACCGTCGTTAAGTCATTCTTTTCTAATCATGTTAGTAAAGTTGCAAACAAGAATAGTGCAAGGACGTCACGCGGGAGCACCGCTCTATCAAAATACTGCCGTGATGCCGATGATTCATGCTTCTCTAGTGCAGAGCATTAAGAAAGTACTGAAGTGACAATTAAGCGTTGTTCCCAAGTGCACGACTCTGAAATGCATAATCATTTCAAGCTCTGGCACACAACTAGTGCGGTGAGTCATACAAGGTAGTGGGTAACCGCAGCTTCGGTGAGATCCGTAGACCAAGACAAGAAATACGGTAGTAAACGCACGTCAGTTGTCAGACAGGACGCACTCTACCCATGAGAATATTGGGACGGCCAATAGTATTTACAGATATAACGAAGTGCAATACTGAATAGTCTTGCCAGAACTCGACCTGGTGAGTTGTTAGGTCAGAAACCAGCAGTGCTCAGTAGTTTGATGAGGTCAAATGGAGAAACAATACAAAGGACAAAAAGCTAATTAATGTTTACAAATAACGTCTACGGCCTGTTATCTGAATAAGCAAAAGCGGAATAGGCAAGTAGCAGAAGGTAAAACCTTAGTGGGGAGCAAGACGAAGCCACGGATAAATTTCAACTGAAGGGCGTTGAGACTGCTGACATTAAACGATAAAGGTAAACTCGGCCTAAAGAATACATAAAAAACCGTAAAAATAGGATAAAGAAACACACCTTTCAGCTCGCCTTTGTTGTTAACAATAACGCCTGCGTTGTCTTCAAAGTAGATGAACGTGCCGTTTTTCCTTCTATACGCCTTTCTTTGTCGCACGATCACGGCGTATAGCACCTTTTTACGCAACTCTGGTTTGCCTTTTTTGACTGAGCACACGATCAGGTCGCCAGTGGCAGCTGACGGAAGGCGATTTAATCGGCCCCTGATACCAAATGCTGCAATCATGTAAAGGTTCTTTGCACCGCTATTATCTGCACAATTTATCACAGCGCCGACAGGCAGAGCCAACGATATCCGATACTTCCCACCGGAAGAGCCACCACGTCCTACAATAGTAAAAAATCAACGCGACACAGTAAACTACCTCGCTTCGGCATGGTTGCAAGATCGGCCTTTCTGAGTGACCTTAGGTAATTATAACAACGATAGTGGTTTCACGTCCAATAACAATATGGACGTAGCGCTATAAAAGGATAAATAAAGCATCGTAATATAAAATCAACCAAGCGCTGTTAGCGTGTACCCTATCCTCATCAGCGTGCGTCCAGGCGCCCAATGTGTAACAAACTTGGGACGTATGAAAGGTATCTGTTGTCATGATTGGACACATATATGAGCTTATATACATATGTATGCCTCTTTCAAGTGCCTTGTGCTGGGGTTAAGGCTGCATAGTCAAGCTTCCTCACGGTTGCTGGGCTGAACCATATTACAATTAATGTAGGTATTTTTACCCCGGATAAAAAATTTCCCACTTTATTTGATTTGCTTACTTCTGTTTTCTATTGCATATTCCGTGCCAACTATGATGCGTCTATTTTTCTTCAAATTCTATGTTGGTTTTTGATAACTCCGGCTTGGCCGAGCTAAATGTGAATGTTTGTAAGGTTGGTTACTAAGAAAGTCGGCAATGGCCTCACCTATTTTTCTAATTGTTGGTGACCTAAACCTTCCCTATGCTGATTGGCAGCTTACTGAAAACAGGCCGTTTTCTCTTTTTTGATCTAGCTTGTTGATCAGAGTTATTCAACAGTGTTTCCACAAAAGGCTTCCGAGAAGGAAAACACAAGCGGTGAAACACGACAACCACGCCGTGACAAAGGAAGGCACACTAGAAATTTCGAGTATGTTTGCACTTGTAAGTACTTTCGGATAGCAAGAAAACTGACAAAGCCAAATTTCTATGTAGTGTTATTTAACTGCTGTTCTCAAACAAGTGGTTCAGTAAAGAAAACCTCGAAAGGTGAAACACGACAAGCACGCCGTGACCTTCGCGGGTTCACTTGAATTTAAACTGCTTCGTGTTCCACAGTACAAAATAAGATTTACAAACTAAGTACAAACTAAGAAACTCCGGGTGGTGAGCCGGCGGTCCACTTCCGCCCTAGCAGAGCCGGTTCTGGTAGCGCACGATCCCGTACTCATAATGCGAAATCCCTTCAGGTGACCTCAAGCAATGTGCGCAGCCTGCAAAACAAGCTGTGCGAAGTTGGCGCTCTTGTCGACGACTGTCGTCCAGATGTCCTCGCATTCACTGAAACGTGGTTGTCCACCTAAGTCATGGACAGTGAAGTGTGCTTGCCAGGCTACGCACTGCTGAGAAGTGACCGCACCACTGATCGGCGCGGAGGTGGCGTGGCTTTGTACGTTAACTCCGCGCTTACCGTCTGTAAGAGGTTTAGTTTCAGACCATCAGAGGATTATGTTGAGGCACTGGCAGTTAACCTGTGTATTGCCTCTGCGCAACTTAAAGTTGTACTATGGGGTATGCTGATTTCATCCGCGAGCATTCGGCAAATAGCTGTTTAGTGATGCTGGAATTCAATCTTCCCGAAGTTGACTGGCAGAATATTTCCTGCAACGCTCTTACAAAGTGTTTGGCTACCGAGCTTCTCGAGCTCGCCTTGCATGCTTCCCTGCACCAATTTGTCGATCGGCCTACTAGATTCAGGATGGGTCAAAACCGTCCCTGTTGGACTTGATCTTCGCTAAATCCATTGATTTTGTCACGGATATTGTATACAAGTCACCTTTCGGTGCTAGCGACGACGCAAGTCTCTCAGTTACGGGCGCCCTTAGTCGTCAGACAAATGATCATCCCGGCCGAGTTCCTAATATACGGCGCGCGGACTTTCAGACAATGAAATCCAAAGCCGCAAAGTCGCCTTGTGTCATTTTGGAACGTTACGACCTTCAAACGGCCTGGAACAGATTTAAATCATATTTGAGTGAGCTCTCTCCCCCAAATACCACTATCTGCGGTTGGGTTCAAGTCTGTCCTTCCGCCAATGTGTTCTCAGTGGCTTTCCGCAAGGTTCGGTTCTTGGCCCCCTTCTCTTCACTTTATACTTTAATGACCTATCTGATGAATTGGGCGTGCCATCCCTAATGTTTGCGGATGACTTGAAACTCTGGTTCACGATAGACGGGCCGATTGGTCTACTGACCCTACAGGGGGCTCTGGATAGACTTTGGGAATGGTTAATTTTGTGGCAGTTGCCCGTTAATTTAGCGAAATGTTCAGTTTTACGCGTTGGTGCGAATGTCCCGCCGACGCGTTATTTGCTTAGCGGCAACGAGGTACCGCGAGTTAAACTCCAATCTGACCTCGGTGTTTTGCTGTCAGCCGACTTTAAGTCCAGTGAAAACTGGACGACAGCTGCTCGCAAAGGTTTCAACATGTTGTCATTCGGGATTATGACCTCCGACATGCTCGGTAGACTATTTTCGGCGTTTGTAAGACCCTACTTGGAATACTGCGTCCAGGCTTGTTCTCCATGCCTGGTTCGTGATAAGATGACAGTTTAACGAATCCTGCAGTCCGGGAGGAAATTGGTGCACGAATTTAAGAAGCTGATGTACCCGGAGAGGCTACGTAACTTGGATATGTTTTCCATGTATTACAGGCGGCTTCGGAGCGACTTGGTCCTCACATATTGTAAATCAATGGGTCAGCTTGGTCCTTATTTGACCAGACTGTGTCGCCCAACTCAAGTGCCAACCCTTCGTGGCCACCCATTAAAGTTGCACAAACCCCTGTCTGACCTGGTTTGGGCAGCTTTTCGGTTATCGCGTAGGGTTATAGCTTATTGGAACGCATTGCCTGCAGACGTCGTGTTGGCACCGACCATGAAAGAGTTCGAGCTTCAACTCGACGCTCTCGGTCTGAAGTTTAACGTCTTCATCTTCATGTCTCAAACTTTTCTTCGTCTACTACAGCCTACGCTTCTTTAACGCATTTTAACTTAAATTTTAATATTGCCGACGATATTCTATAAGCTTGGCTTCTCCTCTGCTTCCTTTTCTTTACTGACACTACTGTTCCCTTTTATGCTTCACGTGGCCGGCACAGCGGGGACTGCTAGTGTAGGGCACGTGGGCATTGTTTGGTTGACCATGTGAATCGTGGGTGTTGATTTGGCTCTCCTTTGGCACAGCAAGGCACCGGTTTCACCGTTGGATCAACTACGTTTTAGAAGGCGGAACATTCGCGGGATTTTCCTACTGTTCCGGTCCCACTTGAACTTGAACTCTGGAGAAGAAATTGGTCGATTGCATGCACGAAAATGCGTCGGAACAATACGTCATTGTTTCGACCCGGGGTCGTACTAGGCGTACGCCTTTAACCCTTGTTGTCGTAATCGCCAGACATGGTCGTTTGATTGACCTACGCGTGGTGGCACTCATAGGTAAAAAGGGTCATTGAGATTTTCTCTGAACACGCCGAGCCACGCAGAGAAACGTCGAATTGAAGTGATTTAAATCGTATTTGTTTTACGAAGCTGCGCAAGCGAGCCCTTTAACTAAATTGAATCTCTGAACTGGAACAGGCCACTTTGGAACAGGGGTGGCTTCTAATCAAAAGTGGGCTCGTGCATTTACTGAACAAATTTGCTCCTCTACGCCCTAGGAGACATCTCGAGAAACCACGATGGTGGAGGAGAATGATTGACCTAGCGATAAAGAGGCGCAACGCTGAGTGGAAAAGGTACCAAGAAACTCGGGGCTTCCAACCTTGGATGTAGTACAAAATGCGTCAAAACACGGCCATTAATTTGTAGCGGCAGCGAAGTACTCATATGAGCTTATGTTGGCCAACTTTGGGAAAGCAAACCCTAAGCTTTATTACAGTTATGTCCAATCAAAGGCTTCTCTAAGAGAGGTGCTCGACAGTTTAACCATGGAGAACGACAGCCAGGCTTTAGGCGATGACGCTAAAATGGACGTGCTGCTCCCTGTCTACCAACATCTGCATCGGAAGAATATTTGGTCAGCCTTTCCATCACGGCCGCACTGCTCAGATAGCTATATAATGCTGGAAAATATTCTCAATATGTCAGAGGGCTTCACAGCGTTGGCCAGTTTGAACGCTTATAAATCAGCTGATCCTGACAGTACACATTCCGCCATAGTTAAGCTGCTGGTTGATATCTTCCAGTATTCAGTAGCGGAGTTATTTAACCAGTCCCTTCAAGAAGGAAAGCTGCCACGTGATTGGAAGAAGCCGATCACTGTTGTCATCCACAGGGGGTTCTAAGTCAATGCCTCTTAACTGTATACCTGTTAGCTTGACCAGAGCCGTGCTGAAGTGCTTGGAAAAGCTTACGAGGAATAGGACCTGCGAGTACTTGACTGAGCACAAGCTAAGTAAAGCGGGACATCACGGCTTTTTTAATGGAAGTCGCGCCTTACCAATTCATTGTGCTTTTTGGATGAGATTACCCGATGTCTTGATAGTGGGATGTCGGTAGAGGTGTGTTGGTTGGACTTCAGTAAAACCTTCGACTCAGTGAACCATCGACTTTTACTTGCAAAGCTGACATGGTTTGTGTTGCATCGGCAACTATTCATGTGGCTCTCTGAATTCTTACGTAGAAGGGCATTCATGGTCAGGTTCGGGGGTGCTAGTTCTAGTGTGGGCCGGGCCTTCAGCGTTGTTCTCCCAAGTTCGGTGCTGGCCCCACGGTTGTTTCTTAGTTTTATAAATGACCTGGCTACTCTGCTTGAGGTTCCCTGCTTTATCGTCACAAAGGACTTAAAGTTAGTTAGTAGGGGAAACCGAGCAACCTTGGCTAAGGACATCATCACTGTGGTGAATTGGTAGTGCCAGTAGGATCTACCCATGGATGCCAATACATGTCAACTATTAACCAAATTGGTAGCGGAATTGCAGTGCAGCCTATTGCGGGATCTCTATCATTGCAGTGTACTACTGAAGCCCACGACCTAGATGTCAGCCTTGTGAACAACTTTAAGCCTTCGGCACAGTTTCGCCATGCTGCTAATTAAGTGCGACAAGAGTTGTTTCTGCTTAGGAGGACGCTGCGTGACAATATGGCAGAAGTATCCTTACCTTTATACAAAGCAGTGGTTAGGCCACATCCAAGATATTGTGTTCAGGCCTGGTCACCGTACCTCCATAGTGACACCATGTGTATAAAAAGGATTCAGAAACATGCGATCAG